TTTCCTTCTCCCATCGAGACTCATCAAGGGTGAAGAGGAGGAGAGGGGAGAAGATAGAGATACAAAAAAAAAACCCAAACAGCTAGAACAGGCTTCTCCAAGACACTATGCTAGGTTTGAGGAGGAATAACTGAAACTGCAGGTATGCAGAATGTGGACTCGAGAATCACAACTCCCATCAGTGCTGTCAGCTTCAAGATGAAACAAGAGCACTCAGGAGAATAAAAGTAATCCCTGCATTAACCATCCTACTTATTCTGAGCTGTACATCACTCACCAGTGTGCCCTGGCCAGACTGGTACTCAGACTGTGCTGGAATCTCAGCAGACCAGACTCTCTCTGCATATTTAACCATACGAGTCTTGCCTCCCCCTTTCAGCCAGCAATTTGTCAGCATCACTTTGTGTTTGAAAAACAGCCTCCAATTTCTTTCTTGTTCAATCCAGCCTCATTTCCCTCCTGAAGAAGGAGAATTAAACTATTGCATCTTGTGCACACTGCTGCCCTGTTGTGTTTTACACACCTGGTCAATATAGAAGCAAGAGGACAGCGAGATACCCAAGCCATGGGGCAAGCTAAGGAGGACTGGGCAGTTCAAGGTGGCATCTGTCCTTCCACCAAACCCTTCTTCCCTTCAAAGGAAAGAAATATCCCATATCCTTTTTATGCCCTTATCTCAGCCTCTGCACCCACGATGATCTACATCAGAAGCAAGTGTTCACTTTTCAGGTGACTGAAGTTTGATGGTTACAGTTCCCCTTACAGATCTGCAAACCAATTCTGTATTAACTCCTTAAAGAGGTGTGCAAAGACAGTGTAGGCACACCAGCTTTGCACAGCTTTTTATTTTATCATGTTGTAGAAAACTGTGTATTTTACTTGATTTTATGATTGCGTTACTAATCCAGCAGGACACCAACAAAGGTTTTGTTGTGTAGCAAGAAGTGCCAGCCTTGGAGCAGGCCACATTCTCAAGCCATGTCAAGATGCTTCTGGTTTTCTTTGCTGTCTGGTATCTTCGGTATTCTCTCTCAAGGAATACAACCTATCAACCTCGGGATGCTCTTCAGTGAAATACTGCTGGAGTTTGGGTTTTCATTTGATAATTTTGACAGAAAATAACAACACGGGTGAGAACTGGAAGCAGAGAGAATTCTGTGCTCTGGAAGAGTAAGCAGTGAGGATATAGAAAATATCTGTCTAACAGCAGTCTTGTGGCCAGGATTATTTATGAGCTCAGACACTCTACACACTGTGAAACTGGAAAGAGTTTGTCTGGTTTAACTTCCTTCCCAACCAATTTAGACCCAAATAATTTAGGCATGAATTATCAAGAAATCTGAGCACTCCTTTTTAAGAAAGTAGAGGAATCTGACCCCAGAAAGATTGCAAACATTGACAATTACACAGGATCAGACTGATGACCTGTTCAGTCCAGGATCTTTTCAAAGTGACCAGCCCCACATTCATGCTGCAACACTGGAAACATTTTACCTGAAGCATTGAGAATAATCAAGAACAGATTGCTTCCTCTTCTTCACTCAAGTCTTTAGTCCCATTTCCAGAGGATGCCAAGTACAGAAGCAGTAAAATCATTTGTATACCCAAGCAAAAAAATAAGTAGCATGAAGGGGAATTCTCTTCCATATCTCTATAGTAAGGAGTTGCCTTTACAATTCCAAGCAGAGAGCTCGGAGTGTCCCTACTTTGGGTAAATGTACATATTTAATGTAATACTAGTATTATTATTTGTCCACAAAGATATCTTAACATTTTAGAAAATGCACTGGCCTCCTGCTCTCAGTAGTTCCTTGAAGCCATAGGGCCTATCAAATACAAGGATTTCTACTCTTTTTCTTTTAAATTGATTGACTTCAAATGCTTTGGCTGGGACTGTGTCCTTAGGCACACAAAAAGAAAAAGCCTGCGATGTAATTTCTTTCCACTGTTTGTTCATTTGTACAAGTGTCTCCAAATCATCTCCTCTTCAAATTTGACCAGTCTTTCTGTTTACTGAAGGACTTTCTTTGTCTGAAACAATTGTCATTGCCTTTCTAAAGACCTCATTTCCTTATTCCCATTCAGGACCCAGCCAGAGACAAGGATAAACAGCACAATGTACTCCTGGCCAGGCAATGACAGCCTGATTTGCCACCTCCTCATTCCGAGCTGGATAAGCTGATCCAGAGGCTCCTCAGCAGTGCTTGTTTGTTTTAACAGGTACCTTTAATGGCTTGTTACAAAGGGAGCTGAGGCAGCTCCTGGATGTCTGATGGGTGGGCTGGTCTAGACAAACCAGTGTCTGTGCCATGGCTGGACACATCTGATGGAGCAGAAACAGAAATGGAATACAAAACTCTCAAGTGCCCCAGGAGCTACAATGCATTACAGCCCACAAAAAAATCATCAGAATCTAAACTCCTGGTAAGGAATCTGTAACAGCCTTTCCACAGTGTTTAATTGAAACAATAAAAAGAAGCAAACAAACGGGAGCGAGCTGTGAAGTCTGAGATGTGCCCACGCACTCACAGAGGGGCTGAAAATCACTGGGACATCCTTCAAGCTGATGAGCACATCTGTTGCACTGATAGGGATCACCAATAAATACTGGTATGGTTTCATTGGAATTCAGTGCTCATTTATAGATGCAGACATTGACATTCCCAGCACAGCACTGTGATTAACCCGTTCACTGGAGCTGTAATCCCAATTAAAGCAAACTGGCTGGACACATACAGCAGGTAGATAATAAGCTCCACTGTAGTAACAGCACACCTTGGCCAGGAAAACCAACATCTTTCATCTTCATTTAGCTTTGAAGGGGTTACACTACAGGAGCTCCTATTGCATCCCTCACTTAAAATTAAATGCCACCAACAGTGCTACTGAAATATGCTTTTAAAGTTTACAGCCGAACTACAGAAGCTTGTAAAGTGCCAAGGGACTTCTCTGGTTTAATTATATAGACTCTGTTCCATAAACTGGTTGAATAGAATAAATACAAATAGCTTCCATGCTTTGTGACCTCTCTGGGTTAATGAAATGCACACAAACACCCACAGTCTGCTATGGCTCAGAAATTCCACAGCATAAACACACAACCCTGCTGGAAGCTATAGTCAGGATTCAAGCCTTCATACATACATGAGAACCAGCTGCCTGGACTCAGCAAGGAAATAATTTGTTGTTTATATTCTACTACTATTCAAAGCTGCAGTCAGTGGGAATTGTCTGCAATTTACTGAACAGGGAGAAAGAGTCTGAAGTTTTTAAATTAATGAAGTTAACAAATCTACTCTTCTTGTCTGGAGAGGGTGGTGAGGTAAGAGAGGCTGAGGAATTCCAAGAACCAATAAATGACCCACCCTTGGCTCTAAGAAATGTGAGATCTTCACCTGGTGACACTCACCTCCATCCTTGGGACATACTTGGGATAAACACTCAAGTGAAGAAGAGAGAGCAAGAAGAATGTGAAGAGACAGAAATTTGTAATTCAGTATCCCCTGTCCTGCATATAAATTATTTATATTGCCATTTCACCAAGGAGAGTTTCCTTCTACCAGTGACAAGCTCCTGAGATGCCAGCCAGTTCTTGTTCATGTGGCCAGCATAGAATTTTCTCACATTTTCTTAACTTTCTCCAGGCATGCCATCTCTTCTGTGGTGCAGAAAAAACTGCAACTTGTACTGGCCATGGCATCCAACAGACATCTCCAGGAGTCTGCTGAAGCTTCATTCATTGGATATTTAACATTACAGGTGTGAGCACAGGTCTCTGGAGGTGTTAGAGCAGCACTGCACCATCTCAACAGAGAACTGTTTTCAGGATTCAATGGCAGCATTTTAAAACCAACAGAATTATTCTCTTCCCTGGGCACTGAGCTTCTTTTGTTGCTGCCATGTGCCTCATGTAATCCAGAACTCTCCTAAGGCAAAGCAATATGACTGTTTGGAGCATTTTTGCCTAGTTTTACTGAAGATCCTAGGTGCTGTCTTACACACACCCTCACGTGCTTTATTTGTTGGGTTTTTGTTTTTTTTTTCCCGAGCCACTAAAGTTGCAGGACAGGAAAACATTTGTCCCATTATGTACAGAAACAATCTGGCAACCATCCACATGTGGCACACAGCTGTAGGTCTGCAGAAACAGAACTTCCCCACTTCCTGCTTGTAGAGTTCCCTCCTGTACTGAACACCTCCAAAACCCTTCTTAAAGGAGATTTGCCCTCAGGAGGATCAATGGGAGGCAGGTATGATTTTAAGTGCCATTGTGTTTGCCTTGAGGAAGAAGAAAGTTCTCCCACTGACCTGTAAACTTGGGCTGTTGGCACTTGAAGCAATCTAAAGACAGGACTTGGTGACTTCTAATGTTATACCTCAGGTGTCTAATGCATCAGCTCAGCTTTTGCCAGCTGGGAGGTAACACAGAAGGAAAACAGCCCCTGTATGAAGCCACAAGCTCACAGCCCACCCAGCACCCGACAGACAGAAGACAGACTGTTATTGCTGCTCATCTGCGCCGTTCACATAAATGGCACTTCACACACACCAGGATGAGCTGCTGCTCAAAAGGGATTCCAATTTACATAAAGACAAGATGATGACACGCAGACAAGCTAGAGGATGGTAAAAAAAACATAGGGACATATATCTCATAGTGAAGTAATGATGAGCCTTGATGGTTACATAAGGTTTTATTACTGCGGCATATAACTGATAATATAAAAAGGTGAAGTGCCAGGCCAGATGCCTGAGGTATTATGCATATAGAGTCTCTTCTCTTTACTCCAAACTTTGATACATAAGTGGGAGACCAGATGTCAAACCTCCTACTTTCTAACAGAATAAAGAATCTTTACTTCCCTCGTGAGCAACACTCTGCCAGGTAGCAGGGGGCAGCGATTTTCCAGTCTAATCACTGAGAACGAGCAAATACACCCTGGCACGTTGAAAGCCATGAACCCAAAGCAGCAGGTGCAGCCAGGGGTGCACAGACCTACCTTGAAAAGCAGGCAGTCCCCCTGGTGCTCGGCGTAGATGGAGCTGAGCCTGTACTGGTTCTCCGTGGTGATGTCGATCTGGTACCCCGTGAGCGTGTAGCACACCTTGCGGAACTCCTGGATCTTGGTCTGGAAAACTTCTTTCAGGCGCTGGTTTTTCAGTTCTGCACTTTCCACTTGCTTCTTCAGCTCTGGGTAAGGGAAGAAAATGGGTACTTTCTTATATGTCACCAGCACAGAGCCCTTGTGCTGTACTTACAGTGCTAGCCAAACGGAGTGAATTGAAAAGGTTAATTAAAAAGTGAATTAAGCAGGCAAGAAACAAGCAGGCTGGATGCCTCTCCTCCTGGCCCCAGCAGACTAAAAGATAGTAAACTGGGGAGTAAGGAAAACAGACATGTCTTGGTGGGATGGATTTTTCTTTTGCTCAGCCAGTTTTTTAACAATACATTACAAAAATTCAAAGCTATAGCATCTATTTCCCCACATGCACACGTCTTGTTTTCTACATGAAACCCAAGAGAAGGGTGTTCCTCTACAGAAAGCAATAAAGTGGAAAAATGGTCCAAAATACGCCTCTGTATGGTTGCATCAGGAGGAAGCTGCCTACAAGGGAACTCTCCTCCAATGGAGGAGGTTTGAGGTAAGTGTTTTGATCTCAAATTGACACACTGCTTAGGAATCCCTCAAGGTTTGGGAAGAGGCTTTTATTGTGATAAAAAGCCTGGAGAGCACCTCTGCCTCTCTGCATTTGCTACCTTAACTGGACTAGTCCCTATCAGAGAGATCCTGGGAGACTGCCTGCCACTCACCCTGTGTTTTATTGCTACAAAGGGAGCTGCCAGTACTGTGAATCCTTCAAGAGGATACACAACAATTACCATGAATCTTTCACCCAGGGTGCCTTCTGAGTAATTAAACCTCGATTTATCATCCCATTAATTACAGAGATTGGCTTTACTTTAATATACACTAGAGGTGTCTCCCAAGTCAGCCTGTTTTATCAACACTGCAGTCCAGGGTTAGGAAAAATCCTGACTCTCTAACAGCAAACAAATAGACTTCCTCAGTCGAATACCTCTTTGTCATTCTGAGGTTTAAGGCTTTGTGCTGTGATCAGAGACATAATTGCAGCATTTGCAGCCCATATGTCTTTAGTTTAGCTAAAGGACCAGCAGCAGGACAGCAGGAACTTCAGAACAAGGTGACTGCTGGAATATGAAGAATGTTTTTGGCTGGGTTTATAGAGCCCATACTAAAACATTATCGCTTCCCAAGTGAGCTGGAAATTTTTTTGCTTGAGCACTTGCTGGAAAGTGTTTCCATTGGCGTCCCAGGCACAGTGCAGGGGCAATGCAGGATGGAAACTGCAAGGCCATGGACTTGCCAGTGACATTCACCTCTGAGCAGCTACAGGCACACCAGGAGAGAGCCAGTTACCTCTCATCTCCTGTCCTGCTTTGGTTAGGCACTGTGGGTGGAAAAAAAGGATAATTCAATGTGTTAAGTTAAAGTGCCTTAAATGCCACTGAGGATGCCCCTGCTCAGAAGTACTTTGGCCTTAATCCAAGTCAGTTTAATCCCCAGACAAGGACAGGAACTCTTTAATGGTTAAAGGGAACTACATGTCCCTTTACTTCTGAGTGAGAGCATCTACTCAGGGAGAGTTAACACTGGCCAGCTCCTCACCTTCAGCTAATCCAGCTCCACCGTCCTGAGCAGCTTCTGGTGGTGATGTGCAAGCAATGACTGCCTTCACTCTGGGCATCCATCAGCTGCATCTTGCTTTATGAAGGAGAGCAAACCAGTTGTGGGGAACATCACCAGCTGGTTCATTAAACCCCTGCTATACAGGGAACCTCCCAGTTGTAGGGGGATGTAAAGTACATGGAGAATATCCAAAGCACTCTTAATGGCCCAAAGGGTTGTGTCTTACACACAGTTCATTCTCATGAGCTCAAAAAGGCTCTTTTCTGACCACCCACCTTCCACTCACAGCAACTCATCAATGTGTGATTAAGTCAACCCTTCTGTGGATTATTACAACCCTTTTCCCATCATCTCAGCTGTGACTGGTCTTTGATTAATCAAGTGATCAACCTCAGAAATTAGGAGGTTAACAGGCAGCTCTGACCTGGATATTCTCAGTTTTCATTCAGCTATGCAACTGTTAAGGACAAAATCCTATATATAAAAGTAAAAATTCAGCGACCACACTGCAGTGGTAAATAACATTTTGTCACTGTCAGAGACAGCCCTGCCTTTAATATATTGCCCATGTCCAACAGCAATATTTTTTCCCCTAATAAATGCAGCCTAGCCTTGGAAAAGTAAATCTGCCTCTTCCTACTGCATCTCAGAGGTTGCCTTTCCCAACTTTTATAACCTCGGAGGTGGATGGCACCCTAATTCATTAACTCCTTGAACAGCTTTCGTTATTCAGGAAGAGTTAGTGCCTTTTCCACTGCTTTGTCTCTCAGACTTGGTCCTGCCAGTGGCCACCACGAGCATCGTCACCCCCCCAACAGTGCTGGCCTAGTTAAACAACCCTCTGACTCTGCAATAGCAACTAAGTGATGGCAGCTGCTTCCCTCCACTACCCTCAGGGTGAGAAAGGAAAAACTTTGACTACAATCACTCTTTTATGCAAGAAATCTGGGGCTTCCCAGTGTAACTGAAGTACCAGGGAGCCTTCACCCCCGACTGCGTGCCCTTGCTGCTCCTCCTGGCCCTCTTTCCAGAGCCTGCAGCACTGCTGGTGTCCTGGCTGGAGGAATTATCTGCATGAAAAACCTATCTGCTCCTTAGAGGTGCCTTGTGTCAGCCACTGGCACAAGGTGATGAACTGGGGAACTGCTCCTGCTGAATGTGCCAGCACCAGCCAGGGGTGGGGTAAAGCCTTTTCATCCCTCTGTGACTCCAGCTGCCCAACAGGGCTTCCTTAGCTTAGGGACAGCAGGAAAACACCCAGGCAGGCACAGGGACACAATAGGAATGCCTGAGTTTGCAGCTGCCCCCAGTGAAAGGTCCACTGAACCCTGACTGTAAAACAGAGATTGCTCTTCCTTTACGCCCAATTAAGCACAGTCCTCAGCAGCTCAGCCACAGCTGGTGCCTCCCTCCTGCAGTGTTTATCCCCTGGGAACAATTCAGCCCGGGGCTGTTCCTGGTTGAACTCAGGACAGCACTCAGCACTGGGACTGCTCCCCAGCTTTCCACTGAGGGATCTGCTGACACAACCAAGGAAGCACAGCACGACCAGGATCCTTGGAAGAGGAACTTCAGAGAAGGTAAACTTGAGACTTGAGAGAAGTCAGATGGGATCCCACTGCTGAAACAAAGCCATTCAAGATGTCCTAAGATCTCTTTCATACATTTCCACCATACTGCTGCAGGAAAGAAGCATCCTGCAGGTTCTGTGTGACACCAGCCAGCCCCAGGCCAACATTTCAGACACCTTGGCGTGTCTACAATGGCAAAGAATGACTAATTTGAGGGTACCTATGAGCCTCTCTGCACCATGGGTCTGTCCAAGTACAGACCTGGCATCACAGATTCTCTGCACCCAGCCAGCAGGAAAGCAGCACATGCACAGACCTGGGGGCAGTAATTAATCTTTCTAATATGTCCCCCATCAAGTGAAGATGTTAAGCTAAAATGCAGCTCATTGTTTGCTCTGCATCTGAATTCAAAGCTGTGAAAACACTAATTCTTAAGCCTCACCTAATACCACTAATTCCCACTAAATTTCTAGCACAGTCAGGAAAAATTGATTTAAAAGTCATCACTTGCACAGAGTGCAACTCAGCTGTTTCAGAGCAGTGTTTAAGGCACAGCCACAGAGGCCCTGGAATAGAGGAAGATCCTTTTGGGATGGGTCAGAGCAGGGCTCCAGTGACAGCACTGATGTGCCCACCCCTTTCATCTACCACCTACAGAAAACTGAACTTCTTGATCCATTCAGATCTTTCCCAGTGTTTGGAGAATTAGGTTAAATTACATCTTTAAAAGACAGTATTTGAAAACAAGAATCTCTGATTTACAGAATCTGTTTGAGTTCCTGTTTTTGACCTTGTTCCACATGCACAGCACAGGGGAGAGAAGTTGCAGAGGCCATGGATGGGGAAAGTCATACCACAAACACCCTTCATCCCAAGGAAGGGATGCCAAAGCATCTCCAAGTTTATGAAACAAATAAGAACTGAGAAAATAAGCATGAGGTTACACAGGCCCTGCCTTGGTTGTGGGTAATGACTGGCCTGAAAAAAAAAATAATAGAGAGAACAGGAAAATATATAGAAATATACTGTCCCATCTTTGTATTCAGGCTGAGAGTATTCCCAAAAAGTTGTCTGTTCTGAAGAGTTTGATGTGGAAAAAATATCCTCACTGAAAAAAAAAAAATCATTAATCTGTTAGAAAATTAATATTACCAAATGATTAATTCCTCCTAATGATACTGCTTCTTGAAACACCTTGTATTTTCACACACTTACATTGACTTTAATGAATAATTCAAACTATTTTGGATAAATAAATAAAATATGAGTTGGGCTTTTTTGGTCTCATATTGGAAATGTCACTGCTTTTTATTCCATTGCTTTGACACTCCTTACATCTGAAACTATTCAGAGCAGCCTCGAAATACCACAGCTTTGGCTCTTGCTCCAAGTTCAGCCAGGTCAATCAATAACAACAGCAGCCTCTACACCAAAGAAAACCAAATTCACGCTTAGCCTTTTCCCCAGGGAAAGAGAAGGAAACAATATGACTCTGAGCATGCCAAAAGTGGCATGAAATTCAATGTATCACTAGTCTTTTCCAGGAAAATACAAATTTGTTCTGCCCATCCTCAACGATGCCACAAGCCATGTAGCTGCATTAATTTAGCTGCAACCCCAGCTAATATATATCTCTCTCAGAAAGGCCTGCAGTCCTTTCTAACTCTCCATTAAAGGTTACTTCCCCTCAGTGACACGTTTGGGGGTCACTCACTCCAACACACACAGGATAAAATATTTACACATCAATTCCTGTCCCCGCTGCCAGGGTGCCTCTGGACAGATGCCACCCAACAGTGCTGTGGAGGATGCTGCATTTTCACCAACCCTGCTTTACTTAAACAAGAGATTGCTTACATTTTGTTCCCAGCTTACAGAAGGGATGCCAGAACCACCTTGCTCACACGAGG